ACTAAAATTTCAATTTTTAATTGCTTATTTGTAGCAAAGACGAAAAAGAGACAAAAATGAAGACAAAATTATTGAAGTATTTAAAAAGCATTAAATTTCATTTATCGTTAAACATCTATAAAACCGGCAAATACATTTATCAAATCTTATAATGCCGATACTTGTTTTATTCTTTTCTCCTCTTTTACTCTGCAGTTTAACCTTCATTTATTTTTGCGTATTTTAAATTTTATAAACTTTTTTATTTCTTTTTAATCAAAGCGTTATAGCTTTTTTAAAAAGCTTTTTCTTTGTTTGCAATAAACCTAATTATTTTTCTGACAATAAAAAATAACTTTAAAAAGCATGAAAAATTAATTTTTTTAATTTCTCTTTTAGTTTTCAGCAACAAAATCTGCCTCCTATTTTTTAACCGGCAAAGATCAATAAACGTCTGTACGATTTTCGAACCAATGTCAGTTTCAGAAAACAATAGTTTTTTTTTTTTTTTTTGTTTTACAAGTTGGCTGTTTGTTGAGTCACTTTAATTTAGAAATTTTTTTTCATTTTGACCGGGCCAAACAGCAATTTCATAGACAAAGAACAAAATTGCAGTGACGATTGTGACAACGTCAGATGACGTTCGTCAGCAATTCAGCAATTCTGATGTACATTAAAGTAAATCAGTGTTTCCAAAAAATTTTCACAGCTGACCAGACAGACTGTTTCAGGAAAAAATTGTTCAAAGTTCCACATTTCATTAACACACAAATTTTATGAAGACTATGACACTTTTTGATGCTGAAAAGCTGTTATATACACTGTCAATACATAAAAAACTATGATCCGACAAAGACATTTAAGATGAACAGATGAATAGTATTAGTGAATCACAGTGTTGTAATCGAAACTCTCTAAAACTAGGATTTTGATCGTTGTCATTCTTAATATCACTGTTTATTTTCAGTATTTTGTAAACGAGATGTATTAATAACTTGTTTATTTTACTTCCAACAAATATTATCAAATTTTTCATTAGAAATTTATCAAAACGTCAACGTTATAGTGACATATCAAACAGCTAGCCTTTTACTTAATGGTTACAAGATTTAGCGATGTTGATATCACCTTGAATGTTTCATTTACTCTTTGCTTTAAAATAGAATTATTTACATATAAATAGTCAAGAATTAGGAACACATAGTTTCTCATCTTTGACTACCGGACAAGCAGTGTTTCAAATATCTCACTGCATTAACAGTTTGATAACCGTTGACGCGATAAAAAAAAAAATTGTAAATTAAAGCAGTCAATTGACTTAGCAAAGAAATTAACATTTTGAAACACAAAAGCAAAGCTGCTTACTTTTACAATAGAAAACTCAATTGCACAAGACACGTTATTATCGTCA